CCTGTGAAACACCGTCACATAGTAGTGCAACCCGACGGCGAAACCCACGAATGTCTGGGTCAGGCCTACAAATTTCGAACCCGGCCCGCAATCCGTTGAGAAGACTAGGATCAGATACATCAGAAGCAGTAGGAGGTACAATACGTAACCCAGAGTTTGCAGCACCTGGAGGCAGACGTATGTGGACTGCGAAGTAGCGTGTAGAAACTTGAGGGGCTCAAGCGCTGTGATCAGCGAGACGAAACAGAGAATGGAGAAGTAGATGGAGAGATAGACTTGGATGAAGATTAGGAGTCTCTGGAGAGAAAAGTAAGCTTTGATTCGATTGAAAATGAGAGAGACTAAAACCAGAGGGATCAGTAGGAAGGCGCAAGAGAGTACGGGGGCGATGGTGGGTGCGTATTTGTTGCCGACGTAGGGTTTGAACCCTTTCGTGATTTCCTTATTGGCTTTGCTAATGTAAACTCTCGAGGTGCTTGAGATTTTTGTGAGGTCTGGAATTATCGTCTGCTGAAATCTGGTCGGCAGATCTTTCAACTCTGAAACGAAATCATCGTCGTCGTCTTGCTGGATCCAACTCGGCGGCGTTTGTTTCTTGGCTTTCTGTTGTCCGGACTTCTTCTCTGCGTTCTTATTCTTAGTCGGCTTCTCAGATTCGAGCTCTACCTTTTGATCTGCTTTAACCTTGGTTTCCTTGGCGGCGGCGGATTTTGTCGTTTTGTTCTTGGCACCGCCTTCTTTCAGGAGACTCGAGGATTTTTCGCTGGAAATTGAGGTTGATTTGCTGGAGCCTTTTGATGTGGAATTCAGCTTCTTGCTCTTGGTGGTGGAATTCAGCTTCTTCACCGCAGTGTCGGCGAGGATGGTGGGTGTGGTTTTAGACGATGAATCGGAACTGACTTTGGCAAGCTTGGTCTGATTTTTGGCGGACAGGTTGGATTTGATGGTCTTGGTCTGATTCTTGAGAGAAAGACTAGGCTTGATTGGCTTGGTCTTTTTCAGGGCCGGCTCTTCATTTTGTGCCTCCAACATTCTCCTTCCCCCGGCAAACTCTTTGCTCTGAAATTGCGACTCTGAGCAGTCACTGAAACAAACAGAAACAGAGAGAAAAGAAATAACGCAGAACAGAGCCACCCTTCTGCAACCCAAGTACATTGGTGGAGCCATTTGCGACAAAGTCGAGGTAATACTGAATTGAAGATCTATAAATAAAACCTGGGCTGCAATAGGTAGACGATGATGCTACTTAATGATGAAGGAATTGGTGAGTTGTAGTGAAGAGAGAGAGGGATTATAACAAAAGTGAAGCAATGGAATTAAGAGGGGAAGGGAGTGTTAAATGCGAGAGGAAGAACCAATCACATGGCGCATGGAGACAGAGTAGAATCCTCTTAAAACGCGGTTTCTCTCTTTTCTCACTGAGCAATAATGCTGAGATGTGAGGTGTGGAGTGTGAACTTTTTTGTGCAGCGGGCATCCCATTTTATACTAATTATAATAATAATATTCTGACAATTCCTCTCATTTCTACGTAACAGTTTTAATTGCACCTTACACAGTGACTTCGTACAAGTCAATAATTTCTGTCAGTTTGGTATTCCAAACAGAAAAATGCAATGGCATCTGATTTTTTCTTCACAGTCCTGGGCTTGTTGACAAATAATTAAAGGACAAGGACTGCCAACCGACACTGTAATTAGTGGGGTAGATCTACTTCATGTATATGGAAATGGGTATATTAATTATGGTAAATTAGGCTTCAACATTACTCCCTCATCTTTGACTTTTGCTCCTCCCAATGATCCGAGGGCTCTGATTCCGACATTTGGTTATGGGATCATGGATTGGGGCTTTGACCAGTGTTCCCAAAAGATGTCTTTGATAGTTGGATGCAACTATCAGCTTCCCCTAGTTTACTGTTCTTTGAGAGCATAAATTAAAAATCTATTTTTGAGTAGGTCCAAATCCAGTACACGGAAAACCAAGACCAAGAGTAAGTGATTGATTACATTGTTATTTATTTCATGGTATTGATGTTCACACAAGACTGGAATTATAGTAGTCCACAATTTTAGAGGTGGATATTTTATTCAATAGTGCCGTTTTGAGACTTGTTAACTGTGAGCTTTCCTAGGATCACTCACTCAATCCAGATCAAAGGTATATTGTTATGAGATCTTTTAGTGAGTGATCGAATCATTACTTTTGATCACATGCCTAAAAGATAGATTTTTGTGCAAATTGACTCTCTCATCAAGGACAACAGCTACATATTGAAGCCATTTTTTTTTCCAGATAATTCTCCTGCGTGGTATGGAGACTCTCTTTTGGATGATTTTTGCCATGAGCTGCATATAATTGGCTAGTCAAATCCTTTGCTGCTTATTCATGGTCTTTGTTTTTTTTTTTTTTTAAAAGGTGGATATTTTCTTTTGACGGAAGAAGATAAAAAGATAAGGGAAAGGTGTGAAGAAAAGTAATAACGAGTGGAGTGGATAGGGTGATAGGAATTGAGGGGAGGGACTATTAGTCCATCATAGTGAAATCAGATCACAATTTGGTGAGACCCACTAGCAAGGAATGGAAGTGACGCATCTGAATCAGGTGGATCTGATCTTTTGTTGTTTTTAATGAAATACAGTAAAGAGCTACTTCTCAAGACGTGATAGTAACTCACTGCTAGCTTCATAACTCATAGGACCTAGTTTGTTTATTTCTGGCTCACATTCCATATCCATATAAATGGAAATCTTAAACCATTAACGCGAATTTTATTATTTTAATAAATTGTGAGTTTTATATATCAGCAAGTGGCTGAGGTCAAAAAAAAAAAAATCAGCAAGTGGTTTATCAATTCAGAGTCCAATACTAAATATAAAAGACAGTTGGGAAGTCAAGCATTTCACACTGACTCTTCCTCTCTGTTTTTCTTCCCGTTTTCCTTCGCTCTGAGAGTGAGAGGGCACATCCTAAGCATTTCCTCTCCGACTTAAAAGAGATGGCATGACATTTTTTAGGGCAAAAAAAAAAAAAAATCAAGTTGCACGATTTCGTAATTTGTTTATGTTCTTAAAATATAGCCAATGAGGGTTCCAGCTTCCGCGTTGGGAACTGGGAGAGCTATGCATGATCCACCGACTATTTTCTTTTTTCTGTTTTTAACTTGGATAAGCAAAATACTAATAAATGTCGCATGCTTATTAATAAATTAATACACCAACACAATCAGCTAAAGCTCGAATGATAAAATGATTACTTGAATTTCATATGTTCAATGATTTTTTTTTTTGGGGGGGGGGTGCGGTTGAATCCCTTCTTTCTAGAGAACTTGCCTTGTGTATATGAGCATTTGATTCTTAGATTTTCTTGCTTCAATATTCTTAGAACAACTGTCCGCATTCTACGAAACTCTTCTTCTTCCTTGCTCTGATCTGACTCTGATTTAGTAAGCCCATTTGAAAATACCAGAAGAGACAATACCTTTTTATCTATGAAGGGGCAAAAGGGATTGAATCTAAACCATGAAACTTTTTTTTTTTTTTGCATTTTTCCTGTTCCTGTTGCAGAATGAGTCATTTATGAATTGATCTCTTGGTTAACTGGTTCGGAACAACCAATTCGCTTACTTTGTTATTTTTATTCTTTTTAAGTAATTAATTTCTTACGAATCAAAAGAAAGGAAATGCATGTCTATATAGAAACTCCAAGAACTCTCAAAAAGAAGTCACAGGATGGGAAGTCCAGTTCATGGGTATGACTTTGGAAAGCCTTCAGACCATATTTAAAACTGGAGGGTAAACGTAAAAGCACATTTTGGGGGTCATTAAGAATTGATTCTCTGGTGTCAGTGTGCATGTATCTGACCAAAGAGTTGACATTTACTGCTTGCAATATTCAATTCGGTTTACAAACTTAACAAACGCGTTTCATTGGGACTACCTATGGGTTTGACTTGCATTATTGTTCCTTTTCCTGAAATGCAAGGAGCAACCATAGAAAATCAGAAATTATCGCTTATATTCGGCCTTTGAAATGGATTTGGGGTGCCATTATTACGAAAATTTGTAAACATTAATAAAAAATTGTGATTACTACATAATGAAGGAAGAACAAGTAAGACAATGCATATTGACATGAATAGCCAAGAGTCAGAGGCAGAAAACTTTCAGCTTCATTGTATTCGGCCAACTTTAACTTTAAGGGCAGTTTATTTAAAATTAAGAAAAATATGATTTTAGTTACTTAAATATAAGGGAGTTGTCGGGGCCAGAGATGGGCCATATGTTGAAAATAATACGTCCTCCAGTTCTCTTCATAAATAAGCTTTAAATTTAAGAAAGAGTATGATTTATTTTATAAAATTTAATTTGATTTTGTTTTAACATATAATATATTTTTTTCATTTCGTCCTTAATTATTTATTCTCTCTTTTACCATACTTTTTCTTTTTTATTATATTTCTCAACACATTCTCTTTCATCTTTTTCTCATTTATTATAAAGGTATATTTTTTAAAAATCTACTTTTCTAACTTATTCATTACTTTTAATTAATTTTAACTAATAATTTATTATTTGTGAATTAATTATTTGAAGTAAACAATAAAATAAGAGGAAGTACAATCTAAGTTGAACTAGGATTCCTTATATTTTTGGCATGTCATTGAAGTCTCGCTTGATAGGACTAATGACTCCATTTCGTACCTTGTTTGTTTTTTTCATGGGACGGTAAAAGAGATCCACGAGAGACGAAAATAATGAGGGAGGGGGCACCACACCATAAATGATAATAATGGGCGGATAAAAGAGGGAATGACAACCATATCACACTGTGCCTTGTCTTTTTCTTGCCTTTTTGACACTGCAGAGTGCAGATCATCCAATTCCAGCAGCCTCTGCCTCTTCACGGGATGTGTTTTTTGTTTCCGCATGGGACAACGGACTTCAGATAAACTCGGAGGAACAAAACATAATTGAGAGTACCCTGCGATGAGATTAAAATAAAATAATGAGTTTTTTTTTATAAAAAAAATTTTCTATCACACTACTCATTTTTCCGAAGAAAAAGAACATTGGGGTGAGAGAGGCTCGAACTCTCGACCTCAGGATCACTCAACAAGCTATGAGACCTACGCGCTAGCCAACTGCGCCACCACCCCTTGGTGCTATCCCCTTCTTCCCAATAGTCAAGTATAGTCTACCTGAAGGGAAACGCGAATTCCAATTCATTGCCAATACAAAATTGTTCTAATTACAGGGGTGACAGCATGAAATGAAAAATGCGATATGACCATCGATGTGAGTGGTGGAACAGATGAAACATCCATTTAGACTGCCTCACCTAATTGGTCTAAATGAAGCTCCAAATTTCTATTCCGCTAGATTAGCGAATGTCAGCTGTCGAGATAACAAATACTTCTCATCACTATCATCCATTTCAGGTCTCTGTTCAGTGTCACCATTCACCCCATTTGATTCAGAAATATGAATCTTACGCCATTCCTCTGCTACTCCCTTTTCTTCATCATCATCATCTTCTTCTTCGAGCCTCAGCATTTCTGATTCAACCAAAGCAACCATTCTGGCTCGCTCTCTGTCCCTCGGGTACGTACAGTAAAGGAAGGAGTAGATAAAGCAGCAAACTGCCATGGGAATACCAATTGCAGTATACAGAGCTTTCGCCAGCGAAGCAGCATTTTCCCTGTCTGTCTCAACCTCGACAGAGTCCGAGGTTCCTTTCGGGATTGGTCTGAAACCATACACATGCTGAGCCAAAATCCCAACAATAAACGGAGCAAAAGACACCAACACAGACTCGAACGATCGATCCAAAGCATAAATACACGTCCGGGACTTCTCAGGCACTATTTCTGCAAATATGGGACTGTTCACAGTGTTATGTCAACAAATCAAACCAAACACCTCTCTCTCTCTATCTGTGGAACAGAAATATACTTACTTGTTAGTTGCAGAACCATTCCAAGATATAGACAATCCCATGATGAACAGGACGAGGCCATGCAAGAAGGCGGTGGAAGGATCATCAGGCAAACCCAGCAACAAAATCGCAGCCAAAGGAATGGCCGAACCAGAGCTTATTTGAGACAGCATTATTCTTCCAGAGTTTGGTAATCGTTGTGATAAGATATCCCCCATTTTGCCTCCAAACAGAGCCCCAAGAGAACCAGCGAGCACAAACAGAGTCCAAAGCAAAGCAGTTTTCACATGGGAGAAGCCAATGAGTTCCAACCAGAGAGTCGCAAATGACAAGGCTGACCAAGGGAAGGAACCTGAAATCCCCTGAGCAACAATTATCTGAAACGACGGAATCCCGATAACTGCCTTTGCTTCTTTGATCATATCTTTCATTTCAGAACAAAACGATTTTGCAGGACCTTCATGTTTGAAATGGCCCTTGGGAAAGCGAGGATCGTTGGCGAAGAGGTAAACGAGGATACCAACAAGGACACTGATGAATGCAACTAAATGAAAAGAGATTCTCCAACCAGGTATGCCTGCGAATGAAGTTGAAGCTATGAGAACAGAACAGAGACCTCCAATGATGCTTCCCATGTTTCCGGTTAGTGCGAGCCACCCAAAGGCCATGCCTCGATTGCTATCATCTGTTGAGTCGGCAACCAGAGACTGAATTGCCGGAGTAACAATGGCCAGCCCAATGCCGTTTAAACCTCTCGAAATTGCCACCTTTTAGTGAATATTATGAAGCAAGTGTCAGCTCAGAAAAATTAATTCCCAGTGATGAGATCATCGTTTCTGTCTAAGAAAAATTTAATTTCGACTCCCTGAATGAAATTGTCATCTCATTACAACAAGGCTGCTGTGGAATTTTGGGGCGGAAGTAGCACAAAACATCCCATGTTATCTTTTTCATTATACAAAACATCCCACGTTAAGTGAAAAGAAAGCTGACAATTTCCCTTCTTTTTTTTTCCAGCCTGTACTGATTTATATTTTACTACCTCCAATCGTAAATATAGAAATTAGATAATTGATTTTTAGGTATTAAGAAAATTAGTTAACTTGATTATTTGTCATAAATAAATGTTAGTTTCTCTAAATACCTCCATTAACAGTATCTCATAATCTCTTTTTTCATATATAATCAATAGAGTTAGTTTAAAAAGATTATGAATTTAAGAAATAAAGTAAGTTAAACTTTTATGTTTAAGATCACAGCAAAAACCCTTCTTATATTTATAAGAAGAGGGTTTAAAAATGATTTGAGTAAATAGTTATGTTTATTTATTTATGGGAAAATCCCTTATAAAAATCCTGAATATATTAAATTTCAATTCAAGCACCTAACATTTTAAAGTGATAGAGAAGAAAGTGAGGCCTAGATTGACATTTGAAAATATTATAAAATCACCCATATATCCTTCTATGACATAAAAAAAAAGTTATGAAATTTGTCATTTCTTGTTTAATACTTGTTGTTGACAATTCAACACTTACCATTTCTAATTCATAACTTATTAATTGACTAACTAACTAAAATAAGGAAGAAAAAAGAAATGTTACGAAACTTATAATTTTCAGTTCAATACTTATTATATAATAGAGGAACAAAAAAATCACAAAACTTATCATTTACAATATAATAGAGGACAAAAAAAATCATAAAACTTATCATTTACAATTCAATACTTGTCATTGTCAATTCAACACTTTTCTTTTTCAATTCTTTTTTTTTAGCACTACTTTTCTTTTTCAATTCTAATAATGTCATTTATGTCACAGAAGGGCATATGGGTAGTTTCACAATATTTTTAAAATGCTAGTTTAGGCCTCATTTCCTTTCCTCTCATTTTCAAGTATTAGGTGCTGAATTGGGATTTCATATATTTGAGATTATTTATAAGGGATTTTCTCTCTATTTATATAGTTAGTATTTGTCAATTGTCATGAATGATTTTGCCATGGATCTTACAATTAAGAGCCTGTTTTATCATATAGCTGATAATATGTGGCAATTTGTTCCCGCTTGATTTTGTAATTAGTACCAGGTGAGCGATCAAATGAAATGTGACAAAAAGAGAAAAAATGGTAAATGTTTTTCATTTATACATTAAATCAATGAAATGAAATGAACATATAACACCGCATTTAACAAGAACAAGACACCGGCCATTCTAGACGGCATGATGGATTAGGTTGATGACCTTTGCCTTAAAAAACTATTTATTCTGGCTCTACATATCATGATTAAATTATTCAATTGCCAGTTTTTCTGAGATCCATACTACGATCGTCAATCAGAAAAGCTCAAAAGGAAATGGCTTAGTGGAGAAATCCCTCTGATTTTCGGTAATACGTTACATTCCTTATTGAACCAAACTTACTATTTTGAGCATTTTTTAAAAACTTCGACAATAAAAAGAATTTAATAATTTTCTTCGCCCCCAAAATTCCGTCCGGTCAAACTCCGGCTGTTTTCACCGGAGACAAGATCTGCTCGAAGCAATAATATCAGAGAGAATATTTGAGATTCACCAAGAAGCAGATCACACAGCAGCATTATCAAACATCATTGGAACACACAAAGATTCAGAAACATACGAATGATTTGATTATGCCACGCCGGTCAAAACCAAAGGAAGAAGAACACGAAAGGGAGTATACATAGATATGTACCTGTAAGAAGGTGGAGGAGACGGCGACGAGGAAGGTGGCGGCGGCCCAAAGAAAAGCACCGAGAGCGATGACGTGAGCACGATTGTAACGCATAGAGAGGTAAGCGGCGAGAGGATAACAGAGAGATTGAACGATGGATCGGAAGAGAGTGAGGGACCCTAAACCTGTAGGGTCGGTGTGTAGGGCAGCCCCAACTTCCTTATAAACACCGGGCAATAACGACTCATCCGCCCTCTCCATGATACCTGCGAGATTCACTAACGCTAAGGTCACTGCTTCTGATTTCATCTTCCAATGTTTCATTAATGGCGGTCCCTCCTCAACTCTGTGTCTTCGATCCCACAACAGAGGAAGCGGCGGGTGAAGGCTATAGAACAGAAGAGACAGAGGGGGAAGGAGGTATCAGGGAGAGAGACAGAGAGTTTTAAGTTTGACTTGTATGGCAGTGTTTTGTTTGAAGTTGAGGGAATCGTTGATCGAGGGGCACGTGTACGCTGAGGATTGATTGGGCAGTGGATAAACTTGTTTGACGGGAAATAACGAAATACTGGGATGGAAAGGCAGAGGAAGAAGGGAAATCTGTTGGCCAATCAGAGGGTGCTGCCATAGCTTGGGGATTTGCCGGGTCCTACTGATTTATATAAATGGAGTCCGTTCTGGAATTAGCAATAAAGTAGCTTCAATAGGTTTTAAAGACCATCTGCCCTATCACCTTTTTTTTTTTTTTGGGGGGGGGGGGGGGGGAGGTACATTTATAATTAGGGAGAATCACACTTCACAAGAAATGTAATTACAAAAAAAATTTAGACTGATGCTAAATTTTGACATAAAAACGACAATAAGTACACGATGCTCATTAATTATTGGAATATTTTTATGGCTAATTTTTCTTATAGTTATTCATCTGCTCATACATATGTGTGTTTGAGTTTAAAAGGCTCTGTAAAAATTATTGTCATGGTATCATCTGTATCAATAGGAAGCTTATGAAGGAATTCTTTTGAAAAAATATAACAGTGGCAGGTCCTAGCTTCACTCTAAATGTGTCAGGGCATTTTTATTCTGGATTCATTAGTCTATTCAACTAAACTTTGGGACCAACCCCATGCTGGGCTTTCATTGTGTTGGAAGACGATTCATATCTTCTAGTTCGAGAAGCCCCTCACTGTCATTCGGCTGGAAATTCTCGCACTTATTTGTGATTTCTCTTTTGTTAGTGTTAATATTATTTCTTTTTTTTTTTTTAATTTTAGTTCTTTCTCTGTTGGTTTGCTTCATATATATAATCTTTAAACTTGTTTCATTTAATTTAAATCATTTTGTCCTCGGTTTGAAGGGGAAAAAAAAGAATCTAATGTCTTTAGATTTTATGAATTGTTTTTTCCCTTTCAATTTGGGTTTTGACATTTTTTTAAAGTCGACAAATAAATATAAAAAATGCTTAATTCAGAATAATTTGACCTAAACTTTGCAAGATTTTCAACTCAACATTTCGTGACTTCTGACATAGATTCCAAAATTTCCAGATTAATTGGTGTCATTTCCTCCTTCCCAATTTTTTTTCCAGATATATTTGTCCAGAGAAGGAAGAAGCTTTCCGAGCCTTTTTTTTCTGATTTTCCTTGTTACCCATTACTTTTCACTTTTCAATCTCTTCATGTTTATATTTTTATGCACTGGGCTCTCAGTGTCTTCATTTTCCCATCTTTATTGTTTTATTGATCCTCGATTCATTTGTCTTCATTTAAATTCAATATACGGGGTTTTGGATTTATATTTTAAAATTAACAAGTTGACAAATTATATATTTGTTAAATTTGTCTTGTAGGGGAAGAAAACCCTACTAAACCTTGGGGTTGCTATAAATTTTGCCACAATTCCAATGCTAAGCTGCCATTCAAACCATTAAATAAATTTACAAGTTGGTGGTGCTTCCTCTTAACTCAAGGTATAATTTATTTAGTCCAATATTAATTTGCAGTTGTCTCTGTAATACAATCTGCGCGCCTTTATGTAATAGGATCATTAAGGAAAAATTAGTTATAGATGTTATGTAATAAAATTAGATGCAAAATAGGCCTCTTAAATTTTATTTAATTCTAACAGATTCAAAGGAATTCATGTTGGATTTACAAGTCAAACTTTTATATTTATAGGTGCAATTGTATTATTCACAAGCCAAGTTTATAAATTAATTTTCATAGGATCTATTATTATTAAGCGAAATTTGAATAAAATATTAGTCTTTTTTTGCTTGGGATTTGTGTAATTTTCCAGTCATTAATAATATTATGAACCATTTACATCACATGTCTATTTTTAAGAAACTGAGGAGCAAAAATCGTTATAATTAATTATTGTAAGTCCATCTTAATTTTTTTCATCAATCAAATTTTTAAAGAGAAAATAGGGTTAAAAATTGAGGTATTAGTTAATCTAACCTACCCACGGAGTCATGTCAAAAAGAGTTGCAGCTTTGCTTCACTTTTATCATTATACTCCTATCACTTTTTATGCTCTAAATATCTTATATATTCATTTTTTGTACTAGGTACAAATATCTCTATATTGAAGGTAATTCTATTCGAGGTACTGTCGGATATTAAATTTGAGCACTTTTCCTAATAAAGATTCAAATATTGATTTGTTACATTATGAAAGACTAGCTCCTTCTACTAAACCCAACATTACATATTCACTCTTGTAAATAGTGTAAAGGAATTATATCAAAATAGTGTTTTGTTTTGTAGCCAGAAAAAATTGATTAGCCCAATTTCAGTCCGATGATATTCCCCGGCCCACAACTATTGCCTCGCAATTATCTTTCCACAACACCAATTGATTACAGCGCAAAAAAAGAACTTTTTTTTTTATATAGGTATAGATATCCCTTTATTAGAGACAATATGTAACATCTTAATTTTTTTTATTCATAGGATTTAAATATTTAGAAAAAATAATTATTTTATGATAAATATAATTCTGCCTTATAATTAAGTGAGTAGAGTTTTACCTAAAATATGATTTATAAAAAATTAAAAAGATTATAAGATGATATTAATATTAGGTTAAAAAAAAGAAAGAGAGAGAGAGAGAATTAGAATTAGAATGATTTATAAGGAAAAAAAAGGGGTAAAAATGTAAGAGTGGGCCTTGGGCCCATTAGGGTAGTTTACCCAAATATGTCTGTGTGTATTCCCCTCGCCTCCCGCTTCAGTCTTTTCTTTCTTCTCCTTCGGCCAAAACAAATTTTTAGTCTATAGTTCAACTTTATAGATATTTTTGATAAACAAAATAAATTTTTTTTAATTAAACTCTCTTCATAAAAGTTGTTCTACTCATTTAAATCTATCCAATGATAATAATTTTATGCTACTTAGAGAAAATTTTTGGATTTAAGATTCAGACAAAGTATGGATTTTTGTTGATTAATGATCATAGTATTGCAGAACTATTTTAATAGATCATTTTTATTGGTTTAGTTTTATTTATAGGGTAACTGGATATTTTTAAAAATAATCATCTTAGCTTAAGAGCTCCTTATTTGATAGAAATCTAATATTGATACTTTGAAAAATCTAAACAAATTATTTATTTATATATATTTGAGGTACTATGAATTTTTTGGCCGTTTAATTTGAAGGTTTAAATTTGAAATGAGATTTTAGAACTTAAAATATAATAATTTCAGATTTTATATTTTTAAAAAATTTCTTTTATTAAAGTAAATAATTTGGAGGATGTAAATGAGTAATATAATTATTAGAAAATTATAAGTTAGTGCTCAAATATTTAATTTTGGGCTTTGAGAGTTTTGAAAATTTAGAAACCTCAACAAATACATATAAGCGTAGTTAACTAATTAAATAAATTTTATTAATATGTGATTATATTAATTGTGTAGACTAGTTATCAGTTTGAGTATGAGGTTGATCTTGTGATAATCTTTTTCATCACCTCGAAGAGATGTAACCACTTTCCACTTGTTATATTTGCCGTTTGTGAGTATTTTTGCTATTTTGATCAATGATATGTTATTTGAAATTTAATGGTATATATTATATCTCCTGAGCTTTGAAAATTGTCTTGTGAGATATTTTAGAATTGTGATTGAGAAGTTTGAAAGAAATATTTAACATACGATTTATATCTCGTAGATTATGTTGAGAAAAGATTGACACATTTTTGGTTATATTGTAATTAATTGGCTGTTATTTGGATTTTGAGTTGTGGCCTATTCTATCACGTGGTAAGGCCACTATTGGTGCATATTAGTTGGTTTCCTTTGCCCCCCATAGTGAGGAATAGGCCCTTGTGGCTCCTTATTTGTCCTCTGGAATGAGAGATAGGCCCATATGTCTGACTAATCCCCCATAGTGAGAGATAGACTGATATGGCTTATGTGTTACCTCCATAATGAGGGTTTGTATGATTGAGATTATCCTTACATACATTTTATCTCTATTTCTTGAGATTTGATAATTGTCTCACCTAACACCTCACGAGCATATGTTAGTAGGTATGACAAGTTGGAAAGTTAGTTATTGAGACTTTTGTCTCGCCCCATGATTTCTAATATTTTCTGATGATAGTTCTGGTATTAGTCCATCAGAAAAGACTTCAGAGGCTTAGCATACTGTTATAGCTTATATAACCTCCCTCCTTTTATTTTATGTGGTGATTTATCATATATTGCCATGTAAGGCTCATTCACTCTGATTTTGTGAACTAATACCTTTGATTTACTAATTACTGGGAGTGCTATTAGACGGCCGGAGGCCTCTAAAACTAGCATGTGACACTCTTTCATAAATGTTATCTTTTGGTTAATAGAGCTTCCTAACTTGTTTTGAAAGGATTTATAAGTTGTATGTTCGAAAGTATGAGACTTCATTGGGTCAATGGCCATATATTATTTTTGGGTTTTGAAAGTCCAAGGCCCAAGTTAATAATTGATATTGCTTGTGATATAAGTTTATTATTTTTAACCATGATAGTAGTTTTTATAATTTTAAGGTTTCCTCTTTTCTATCATAGTTAATCTTTCAGCTAAATTATTTGATTTAATTTAATTTGATTTTGGAAGAACGGTCATTACATAATCTTATTCAAGGTACTGTCAAGTATTAAATATGGACACTTCTTTCAGCAGTGATTTCGAATATTGATTCGTTACATTATAAGAAATTAGTTCCTTTTGCTAGACCCAACTCCCGTTGGTTAAGAAAAAAACAGTTGATTGTAACTACTCTCTCTGTTTCATGTTATATGCAGCATGATTGTCAAGATTTACTCCTATTTGTTTGCCATATAGGGCTTCCTCTTTATATTTCAACTTAGAGGACCTCCCGCTAAATGTTAAGAGTAATTAATGTGATTATACAAGAAGACATCTT